GAATTCAGACTTACTAACCTGGGCTTTGCTTAATATTTGAGTTCAGTTAACGTATATTAATTAAATAATACCTTCAACACTTTTTCAACTAAATTCAATTATAAATTTAAAACTTTCTCAAATTAAATACACATTTACATGCTTTAAAGTCTGAATATATGTTGAAAAGGAAAAAAATGCTCCCTTAAATATATAACCTAAAATAAATCACTCGCATTTAAAACCTAGCTGTCAAATTCAGCAAAGTGTTTAGCACTCATTTTGGAAATGTAAACCAAAATCACTGTCTGTCTCTGTTTTTTTTTATTTCGAACTCTAAACTCTAAGCGTTCTGTTCTGCTCGCCCTCATGCGGTTGCATTTGCTTTTGTTTGGGGCTGTGATGTCGCCGGTGGTTGACATGTTGCCGCCACGCCCTCGTCAAGAGAAAACTTTTTAACCATGATTTTTTTACACAGGAAAAAATGCATTTTGCAGTGATCTGCATACTTTAAAAGCAGCTATCATCAACCTTTTAAATAACATTTAAATATTCATTTATTATTATAAAAATTCCTGTTTCATCAAGAAAAATTACAAAGGATTTTAATTTTTTAGTATATGTTTAATATAAACATGCTTCTTGTTTAGATATTTCTTTTCTTAAGTATATCATTGAGATTAGGAAATAACTCTCAAAGGTAGAAAATTTAAAGAAATTTAGATACCCTCAAAAATGTTCATAAACCCACTGTTTAATTAAAATTTTTCCCTGTGCACTTTTAATTTTACCTCGTTTTATATTTGTGCTGGCAATTAGCAAATAACTCACATAATGTCCGCGAATTGAGGCGACCAAGTCCTGGCCGTGATAGCTCCACGAGAAGGGGGATTGCGATTGAGGGGGATGATTCAAGTGGGTGGTGGTGGTGGTGTTCGAATGATACTCATGGTGATGGCGTTGCTGTCCAAACTGATTGTGATTGCGTTGGCATTGACGTGGATAGTGGTGTGGGTGCTGCTGCTGCTGCTGATTGTTGGTTGCCATTCCACCATCAGCCCCATCAGCATTACCATAACCAGATCCAGCTCCAGATACAGATACAGAACCTGAACCAGAACCAAACCCAGATCCAGCAGCAGATCCATTCCCATTGCCAATGTCATTGCCTGTGCCAAAACCAACCCCTGGCAAATCGGTCGTCAGGCCATGCAAATTGAAATGCCATCGCAGCAATGACAAACGATGCAGCCGCTCATGAATGTCACTAAAGTCAAGCCGAGAGCCGGATGAATATGGCATCGATGTATCTAGAAAATAACTCTCTTTCTCTATATATATCAACACGCGAAGTTTAGTCTTCGAACTCAAAAAAGATACTGACGTTGGCTCGGAAAATTCTCCACACTCGTAGAGTTCTCGCCGGCGAAGGCAATGAAATTTAAAACTTTAACTGAAGGCCAACAAAATCGAAGGCAATGAAAAAAATATAAAAGGAAAAATAGCTGGAAAAAAAGTTCTCCAGAATTAAGCAAATTTCTGGAAAAATTCAAAGTGTAAGAAGAGATTGGGTAAACATGGTCTGTCGCCATTGATCATAATTTTCGGGGAATTGAATTTAATTCCAAAAGTCTGTTGAAAATGTTATGAAAATTCTAGAGAAATATAAATTGGATGACGCTTTTGTGGGTGTTGAATTAAATTATACATATTCATAGGTGTTTTATGCCATATTTTAATGACTAAAACGGAAGGTAATTGTTATTTATGCAACACTTTTCTAAATACAATTAATATTTGATTATTTATGGCTCCAAAAATATGTTACATAATTAATATTGCAAGAAAACTAAGCTAAGGCCACAAGGAAAAAAAAGAATATAAATAGGGAATCTGTTTTTAAATCCATCCTCATCATCAGTATATAAATAAACACTTTTGTCATGGCATTAAAATTTTTATGCTTCTCCTCTCTTTTTGCTAGCCAAGGACTAATAAAAAAAACTCAAATAAATACATAAATAAAATGTTGGCAATTATTTAGGCTTTTAACATGTCAGCCACGTGGCAGCCACAAAAACGGAAACGGAAACAGAAAAGCACACACATACTCTCTCACTCACACAGAACGAATTGAATTTTGATTTGGGTTTTTATTTGGGAACCCCAAAATAAATGTTACATATGTTTCAAAAGAGAAATGTGATTGCGAGTGGGGTACAGAAAATGTGATTGGAGTGAAAAATGTATTTAATTGGAAAATCTAATCAAAGTCCAGGCAATTGTAGATCTCAATCGAAGGCTATTTGTTTGGGCATTCAATTATCCAAGCAAACAAATTCCCTTTCCTTCCCAAAGTATCTCTATAACTAATTTGCTAAATTTAACAAAAAGGCAAAAGGGGGAAGGCAGACAGCGACTGAGCAAACAAAGTTAATTACAATAATGAAGCTAATTTAGACCAAAATAAGGCAAAAAGGAAAACCACAAATTAGTCCAAGAATAACGGCAAAGGACGAATTTTCCACAGGTGGAGTGTGGGAGGTCGGGATGAAACTTATCTCAATCTGAGACGCATTTTTCAGCGTCGTGTTCTGCTCTTTGTCAAGTTGCCTTCTGCGGTTTGTTTGCCCCTTCCCCCTTGAGGTCAACTAAAAAAAAAAATACTCTTTTTCGCTTTTATAATTTATGGACCTCTTTTAAAATTCCCCCTCGGCAACCCCCCCACTTTATTTATATTTAATTAGTGCGTGCGGTTCCAGAAACCACTTTCGGTGCGTGAGAACTCGCGAAAAAGTTATTAACTGCCACTAATTATACATTTTTCAAGTGATACGCATTTATATTCATGCATTTTCCTTTATATATATATATATGTATGGACTTTCTTTTGCCGCAGGACCTGGTTCCGGTCTGGGTCCTTGTCATAAAAAGCTTTCCTGGTAATTAATGCTACATTTTTCTTCGCTTTCGGTACGAGCGACTCTTTGGCGCTCTCGTCTTAATTACAGTGGATTATAAATATTAAAAACGGAAGCAGTTGCCAGTAATCAGGACATCGAGCAGCAGCCAAAAGGAAGTGGAAGCCATTTTATGTCGTGCAGAGAGAGAGAAAGAGCGAGAATTTGAGAAATGGCTGCTTAATGAGACCAAAAAGAAGGGGGTAAAACACAAAAACTCACGGATATCAGGTTGAAATAATCAAAAAAGGATGCTGAGAGATAGCAGGAAAAATATACGAAAACCGGCAGCTAAAAAGATTTCATTTCCTAAAACAAACAATTAGTTGGTAATTAAAAGAAGCTTATCATGTTTTGTAGAGAAGCAAGATGGCTAGGATTAAGGATATCAGCAGGGAAAGGTTTAAGTTTTCCTATAGCTTAAGTTTAAAATAAACAATAGTTAAGTTGAATATTAGTAAAGTCAAATCAAAATAGCTTGTTTATAAATTGTTTTAAAGTTACCATTTTTTGCAGGCATTGTAAAAAATAGCTCTCTTTATGCTTTGTTATATGTTACAAATGATCAAGTTACATATACTATATGTGTGTCAGCAGCTGTTTATGTCAGCCTGCTCAGCTGAACATCAAAATCTCATGTTGCTCAAACACACACAATTTCAATCTGCAGAGCGGAAAATAGGTTGAAATCCATTTGGCAACAGCTGTTGTTAGCACATACTCGTATGTTGTTGTGCTACAAAATTTTACACCCTTCAAGTAAATAAATATAAGAATAATAAAAAGAAATCAACAGCAACACCAGTTAAGGTTTAAAAATAACCAAGATATATTTATAAAGAATGCTGGAATGTGGAATGGAAGGCGAACAATGCGGCGTATACGCAATATTGAGTGGCACACAACGCACCGCCTCAAGCACTTTTGCCACTCAACTGGGCTTCCCTCCTAAGGGATAATAATGCACCTAGGAATATATATATATAGATAAGGAAAATAGGAAAACCCTGGTATTCTCCCTCTCTCTCTCTGATACTTGAGAGCCAGGTATGGACGAGGAACTTGACATATGCCAAGGAAAAACAAGTGGAGGAGTGGAATGCCCACCACTTCACACAGAGCCGACTCAACTTTGACATTTCTCTCTTTCTCTCTCAATCGGACTGCCTCGAAAATTTCCCATTTACCCATTTTCCACATACATTTCCCCTTGTCCCAGACCAGTCCCCTGGTCTACTGGCCCATTCCGCTTTTCCGGGCATTCACAATGGAATGTCCACGGCATGTGGCAGTCAGATGTGTGGGCGTGGCATGGCGTTCAACTTGTTTTTGCCGCAAAATGATTTATGACAATGCATTGAAAACTTCTAGGCTGTCAACGAGGCAGGGGAAATGTCAATAAGGGAGCAAGCAGCAGAGGCATTTGTAGTTGGAGAGCCTACGGAAGAGTTCAGCCAGAGTAAAGTCCAGAGATGTACACAAGAAAAATATATTTTATAACATATTTCCAAGGCTTAAGAGTACTCTATAATAAGAACTGTATTTTTACTGTATATTTTGTATGTAAATTCTAAAATTTGAAGCTTGAATTAGGCTGAAAGAGAACACAAATATTTATACCAATTATTTATAGTGAAAAATTATTGTTGTTGAAGAATCGATAAATTGTTGTTAAACTATTGGAGAAATATTGATTAACTATGGTCGAAAAGTGGTTAAAATGTTGTTGAAAAGTTCCTCAAAACTGCTACAATTGTTGTTGGAATGTTTCTTAGCCTTGAAGATCTTTTGTTGAAGTTTTTTGAAACTGTTGTTGAAATTTAATAAAAAAGAAGTTGAACTGTTGGTTAAAACCTGGTCGAAAGATTGTGAAAAAACTGCTTTTAAAATCGGGTAGAAACGTTGTTGCACTTATTTTAAAATCTATTATAAATATTCTAGAATTAATGCTTAAATTCTTTTCCAATTATTTACTAAATATACATAAACTAAAGTTAACCGAAAACTTAATAAAAACAATTAAAATAGTACTTTTAAGCTTTGAAAAAACCCGTTGATAAATATATATTCTCTGTTTATATTTTTATAAAAATATTTCCAGTGCAATGCCTACGTTTGTCAATCATTTAAAATGATAGCCATCTTCCCCTTTTCTAAATCTCCCATTTTTATCAGATTTTCAATTTGCAGCTAGAAGTTGTTTAAGGCCTTAAATGTAGAAGCAAAACTGTCAGGGATGTTGGCAGCAAAATGCCAATAAGTTGTCATGTTCCGACGACAGCTGCAGCATCTCGCACATCCTTACATATATATCCTTTCTGCCAGCGGCTACTTACACGTTCGCCGAGAATTGCCAAAGACAGCGGGACGATGGCATCGGCATCTTTTGGGTCCCATTTACACACATTATTCAGGAAGGTATGGGGGTGGCCATATCTGTATATCTATAGTATATATATATCTTTAGTATATATCTACATACATAGGTGTGTGTGTTTGAGGTGGTGCCTGAGCACGTCCCTCATATGCCACGAGACGACGAGACGCTGCATGCTGACACATTAATGTCCGCAAAACGAGAAGCGGAACAACCAGACGCACCTGTCCATGGCTTTGTGCTCCTCCTGGAAAAACCCAAAAAACTATCCCTCCTCCTCCATTTTCCACACACCCTCCCCCTCTGGTGCTGCTGTATTGTCGTATTTGTCTTATGAACTGTCAAACTGACATTCATTGACGCTTGACATGTAATAAACGAAACGAAATGAAACGAAATGAAATGAAATGAAATGGAATGGTGAGGATGAGGTTGAGGTTGAAGGATGTTAACGAAGGTCCACCGGAAATATGATTTTTCAAACAATTTTATGCTTGTCCGCATGCTGCAGCCCAGCATGATTTTATTTATTAAAAGGAATTAATTAAATTTTGGCCACGAAAAAAGTGGTTCATATTTTTTAAAACCATATATGTTAAAATTTAAACAAAGTTAATTGAATTAACAGGGTAATATAAGAGAATGGTGATAGTTGAGGAGAAATAAGGTGCTAAAATAGTGAAACAAATAAAGCATAAAGCTGCAGTACCTTTCCCATTTATAAAATTTAAATTCTTAAATTTGTTGTAGTATGAAAAACCGGTTAATGGAATTATATTTTCAAAAGAAATTCCCCTACCTTAATAGAGAAACCTCTTCAATTTAAGGTAATTGTGGCATACAACTCAATCAGCCCGAGTGAAATTCCATTAGCGCAAAACCATTCGAAATTCCAAGAACCCCCAAAAAACCGCTAAAGCAAACAAAGCAGTTGAAAATATTTTCAAATGGAGGCCAGACGAAAATTCAAATGGAAATGTGAGAGGAGAGCCGAGGAACACACAGATTCAGATTCAGATTCAGGTACCCCATGGTCGTGGCAAAACGTCGGGGCGAATTTTTGCACAATGCAAACATAATGAGTTTGGGGAAATGCAAATAATTCGCAATGGAAATCATTATTGAGCACTGAACCAGACGACAGTCCGGGAAAGCGGGAGAAGCGGGTATAAAGGCAGCTTCAATACACAGTGGTCATCATGATGGCGGGATTTACTAGCTGAAGGAGTCACTGGAGTTTCTTCTGTTCACTTTTCCTCCACTGCCAAGAGTTTTCCCCAAAGAGCCGCGCTGCAGCATTGAAAATGGAAAATGGAAAATGAAAAAGTAGAAATCCCAGAGTCCATTTGCACAAAGTACACAGAACAAATGGTTAGAGAGTTGGTTTTTAAAATTAGCTCCATGGATATATGTTTTCATTTGTTATAATGTATTATATTTCCCGATAGTAAAGCTAATTTCTTCCAGTGCTATTATAGGCAGAGAGAGCTGAGTGGGTGCTAGCCAGGCGATAATCGTTAAGCGATTTCGTTTCCTTTTCGTATGTTTAATGAAGTGTTTAAAATTTACGATTCCCAGCTAAATTTATTGCACTTGCAAGTAGATATCGAAAGGAAGTCCCCTCTGTCCAAACTGAACAAAATAAAAAGAATGCTGAGAAAAAAAACTTCCAAGAAGGAGAAGGAAGTTGGAGAGGAATCCCCTTTGATGGCTGCTCGGGGAATCAATCTCACATGTGCTCAGAGGGGAATCCTTGCTGATTGGATGACACGAAATAAAAACGTTGCACACAACAAAATTGTTAATAGCAGTGCTCTGTTTCTTATATATATACATATACATATAGTATCCCCTGCCTTTTGCTAAGCCAATTACGTGGATACCACAATGGCAGGAAGGATGGGATAAATTCGACAACAAAAATCCCAAAAACAAAAGGACAATAAAGGGCTGGCTCGTAAATGCCATCAGAGGAGCTTAGCTAAGCAGCCGAGTGACTCCTCCTTCGATGGATACCCTCGATGATGATGATGATGATGATGCCACGTTACGTATACGCTGCGTTGACGGTGCTTTCGCTCGTTTTCAATAAACCGCATGGAAAAAATAGCAGCGCAGCAGGAAAATAAACCAAACTTGATGGCAGCAGCAGCAGCAGAGCACAAATTCTTTGCATACTTTTCCGGGGCGCACTCAAGTGGCAAAGCCACAACAACGACAGCACTTGATGAGCTTTCCAATTACATTTAGCTGTTGCCTGTTAACTGTCTCTCTCTCCCTCTTTCTCTTGGCCGGATAAGGAATTAACTGCCGGGGCCATCGTAAAAGCCAAAAACAAGAACAAAAACCGAAACGGAAACGGAAACCAAAAACTCGACACACTGAAACCAAAACCAAAAATGGCCCTCAACTGATTTCCAGCACTGACGATGACTTGGCGTGTGCACAATAAAAATTATCATAAGTTTGCCATCCGAAAGCGCAATTTGTGTAATGAAAGTCGAGTGTGTTTCACCCGGGTTTTCTTTTCTGCAAAAAGGACAAATCAAATCTGTCAGCAGGTGAGTCAATTGATTAAATGAGCGAGCTAATGAAAGGTGGACTAAGTGCAGCGATAAGTGAATTTTATGGATAAGAAACAAGTACAAGAAAGAAAACACTTCAAGTTTTCAATCGAATTATAGGATCAAATCGAAAAACGAAATAATTGGAAATATCTAAAAGAAACTAAACTATTTTAAGGTTTAAACACCAACGAGTTAAAATATAATTCATGCTTAATAAATTGAATGATTACTTTTATAAGAATTTTATAAAAAGAAAGTACATCCAAGTTAGTGCCAAATATTTTGTCTTCTCAAACACAAAATCTTTCTTAAAAAATCTAGTAACCTCTTTGATTTAGTAACTTTCAACGACCGACTGGCAAAACAAACTATCAGACTTCATCAAATTATTTGTCATAGAATAAAGGTGATATTTTACTTTTTGTTTCTTTCCAAATCTTTGTGAAAATGGCTGGTCCTTGCTGTCCACCACCATGCTTTCCCTGTGGCGAATCTCCACCTGCACCGCTTTGTCCACCTTGTCCACCTGCAGCACCACCTGAACCACCGTAAGTTCATTTAAACCTATCTATAAAGATATCTTCCCTTAAAAGTATTCTAAAATATATATTTAAAGAGTGGTTCGCTTGGTAAACACAATAGAAGAGTCCCAGGATCCCTGCTCATTCAAGAATTGCCTAATTTTTCGAAATCATGATGGACCCTACACTCGACCCCTTGATCCCAAGGAGTGTGCCCGAAATCGTCGCAAAAATATCGATAGATCGCTGGGTTATCCTTTGGGCGTGGTAACTGGACTTGCTGCTGTAAAGTCGGGTATTCAAAATCAGGAGAGTGTCCGATATGCAGGATACCTCAAAGGATTCGCTCATTCCTACTATACGCGTCGCGATGAATGGGTGCCGGAAATGATTGATATGGTTATAAATGATGGTCAGATACTGTTCAATGATTCCGAGAATATGGATAATCCCAATTCAATTGAGAATCCAGATGTTTACGATGAGAATGAGCAGCGGGTGACGCGGGCATTCAAGATCAATGAGATCGAATTTGCCGTGGAGTTGGATACAGCCTTTGAGATTTATGGTTTTCCGAATAATATACATAATCTGCGGCGCATCCTGAGGGCTTTCTTTAAGAAATGCAAATATGGAGTGTTTTTCACACCCACCTGGTATTTGCTAATCTGGAAGGAGCGAGGTGTGTGGATGGTCTTGGATCTAAATGGCAGGGACAGGGAAACCATGAAGCCCAGTCAGGATTCGGGATATCCCGTACTATTGGCCATGAAGTCTTTGGACAATGTTGTCTGGCTGATCAAGAAGGAGAGTGACCTGGAGAAGACTGACAAGTTTACAATCCGTGAGATACTAGTCACCCGATTGGCCACACCTGGCCCTCAGGGTCAGAGTTGGGAGCGAGAGCATGGTATGCGTATGAGTGAATATGATGTAATTGCTTCGGATTATGCCTATGTCAAGTCCAATTTGCATCTTACTCTGAACCCCAAGGATGCTTTGAGGAATCGCAGTGCTTTGCCTGTGGCAGTGGCCACTGCTCTCGCCTCCAAAATCGATCATCCTGCCACTTGGGATATGAAAATGTATGACAAGGTCATGTGCTATGGTGTTAATATGTGCAAGAATTGCTGGGAACCTTGCACAAATATCAATAAACCCATGGATCTTGATGATTTTCCACGTCAGATTCGAATGGGTCAGTTTGTGGCCGAAATCTTTCTCACGCCCAATGTCTATGAGGGTTGGTGGAAGTGTGTGCCCATGTACAAGTTCAATGATTTCCATTTGATGCTGGAAAAGGCTTTAAATGAGAACGATTACGTCATCTTTCAGATCAACAATCAGATGTATTCGTTGTGGAAAAAGTCGGACTTTATCTATCTCATGGATCCCTATCGTCATAACATCGTAGGTCGCATCCTGGAGGAGGGTGAAGATCCCAAAAGTGCCAGCGTTCGTATGTTTGGAAATATGGATCGCCTGTTGAGTGTCTTTCATCAAGTTCTCCTCGAATCCAATCGTTCGGCAATCTTTCATATTCACACTTTGAGAATAAGAAATATCACCGAATGTCCACCGGGCACAGCTCCAGCTTTACTGCCACCTGACCAGGATGTGGAGGTTAGATCACTCAATGAGACCATACGTTTCGATGAGAACTATGACAAGTGTTTGCAAGAGTTGGGCGAGATCAGTGACTTTGAGGAGGATCTGGCCTCTGAAATTGAGCCCATTGTGGAGATCAGTTCCTCGGAGGAGATGGTCGAGGAGGAGGAAGGCGGTGGTGGTGGCGAAATCGAAGGAGGCGAGGGCGAAGACGAAGATTAACCGAAAGGACCTGGGTTTTTCCCGATTCTGCGCAATTATGGCCGCCGTTTTTCGCTCATCTTTTAAAGCTTCTTTTAATCAAAGGAAAATGTGGCTATGATCTCAGAAATATTTAATCAAATGTATGAAATGAATGTAGGAATAAATTATTATGTAAATTACTAGGTATTTAATGAAACAGAAATTGGACCACTTATTTTGTGATTATAGTATTACGAAAGACTATTTCAGAGTAAGATGCAGATTCAGTGCTTAAAAATCTCTAAAATGGAATTTGTTTGGCGTAAGTCAGCTTGTTATTATATTGGACTTTCATTTGAAAAATATATGAATAGTCTTTGGGTGGGGTAGTTTTTTAATGAGTAAAGTGAATCTTGATTCCTTTACTATTGAATAGTATTTTAAATTCAACTAGTTAAATTCCTTGTACTTCTTCTAAATAATTTTGTATGCTATTTTAGTTACAAACTAATTTTACATATATATTCATCGTAAAATCTAAATAAAACCTTTAAAATTTCTTTGAAAAGCTTATAAAAATCCCGCTTCAGTTGCTTTTAATACACCATTTACGTCTGCTATTCTTTTTTTTCCCCCCTATTCGTCTCGCCTTGTTATCCATCTCTATTGTTTTTTATCCTCTGTTTTTTATTATTTTTCCTTTTTTTGTAACAAGCTCGACAAGAGGTGGAAAAGCATGTAGGGATGGGGGAAAACTTGGTGCGAGAGGGCGCGTAAAACATTTTGAATTAAATGTCACGTTGTCGGTGTAAAGTCGCTTGTTCAGCGTTCGAGGCAACGACAGGCAAGAGATTCAGGCTAAAATAGTCACAGGACGAGCAGGACGAGCGAGCTCCTTGGAGCTACTGGCTCGCCATGTTATTGCCACCTCTCGACATGGGCGTGGTGTGGTCCATGTGTCTGTGTCATTAAAAAACAGTGCAGAAGGTAGCTTCTACCTGGCCCGGAGGCTTCCATTTTCCCGGAATACACACACTCGTACGCGGAGGACACTCAGGACGACAGTGGCATCAGTCACTTAGACAGCAGGTTACCTGGCGGCACACCATCAGCATCGCCATCTCACCTGTGTTTTACCTGTATGTGTGTGCTTATTTGCATGGCTGACAACATTGTTGTTGCTGCTGCATTGGTAAGAGAGACATCTCTGTCTGTATTTTCTGAACGCTTTTTGAATTCTCTCCCAGCGACAACATTTCACGAAAGTCGACAGCGCGAAATTAATGGAAATTTAAAAATTGCATTTTTCGACATCAGCGTAAAGAAAGGAAAGGAAGGAAAAGCCAGGTAACGAACAGTACTGACATTGTGGTCTTGGCTGTCGTTGGGAGATAATAGAGACGACAGGTTGGAGTTGAATGGTTTTCAAACTGGCAAAACGAATTAAGGATTAAGGTTTATCCTTTGAACTTAAAGTGGGGAAAATTATAGGTATACCAAGGCCACGGGTTAGTAAAAATAACTATCTAAGTTTATATGATTTTATCTTAATCTGAAATTAGGAAGAAGTAACTTGTATTGAAGATGTTTTGTCTTCTTTGTTATCCTAGTCATATACCTTCAATCTATAATAATCTCATAATAAAAAGAAACAATCAAACTTTGCAAAATAAAATCCTTCCCTTTATACATTCTTGCTTTACCTGTAACCCAATTTTGTAAATATATAAATATAGTTTTCAGCTTACCTGCAATGAAAAAAAGATAAAAATAAAAGTTATTATTTTGGTTTCAACACATTTCACTTATTACATATATTTATTATAATAAATTGCATTCACTCAAATACAATTAACAATTCATCAACTGAACAATCAAAGTAGAATGATAAAAAATCACATTTATTTTTATGAATTTTGTTGAGAGCCTTTGAATAGTTTTCCGTTTTTTTTCCTTTAGCTGTTTGCTGATTGCATTAATTTTTAATTTTGCGTGTAAATATCGCGACACACACACACTCTCACTCACTCTGTTGCAATTAATATGTAGTTTTATATATATATGCCCCCGCCCCCATCAGACTGTGGTAATTAAACTGCGGCTGCCACGCCCACAATGCCCCCGCAATGCCCATACGGAGGCGTCATATGTCAGCGACAGCCAACCGATCCAAACTATGCAAAAAAAAAAAACAAAATGAAACCTACTTGCAATGGAAAAGCAAATAAACAAAGCAAAAACAAAAGTATGGCAGTGGACACAGGACACTGCACCTGCCACACACACACACACACACATAGGGAGGGCAAATGTGGGTTTGTCGCAATTTTCCTGCTAAGTGCACATGATAAATTAATGATTGAAGGGACCCCCATCACGTGTACGAAATCGAAGGGAGCAGGAGATGTCTATGACAAAGTGATTAATTGTCAGGTTGTGCAAAAAAGAGGCGGGGTTGATTTTCCCCACATTGCTCGGGTATAGTATGGGTGAAAAGTAGGCGGTGGAAAATCGGTGGAAATAGTTCGCCATAACTAGAGCAGCACTCATATTCCAGCCACCCGTCGTCTCACTGGTAATTTGTGCACTTTTCGACGTGACTTGTCGTCCCAAGAAACCTGCACAGGTAAATAACACTAAATGGCAAAAATGGGGGGTTGATCCACCATTCCTACACCTGTTAAGTGGTTCGCCGTGTTAATTTTCTCACCTATTTTTTTGTGGCTGCCAAAAAGTCAAAGCGTAGACGTCGTTAGAGCCTTCGAAATATGAGAGAACTTGTGACTAATTGATTGGGGCAACTTGTGTGTGAGTATAGGAAACATATTGGTCTTATTTATGTTTAATTTATGTTTTAGTTATGTGTATTTAGAAGGACATAAAATACATCATTTATTTGTATAATAAAACGAATTTATTAAAAAACCTGAATTAAAAAGAGCGAAAGGCAGTAGAAAATGTTGATAAAGGATGATCTTATGAACATGTTGCGCAACATTATTGTAAAGAATGTTTCTATGGTAAACAAAAATGTTGCAAGGAGTGAACTAAAGATTCCCAAATCTGTATTCAATAATCGCGAGAATGTGGGAACCCGAATAATATTCAAATATGTTAATGAATTAAATAAATTTAAAATGCCTAATCATTTTAACACGTTGTAAATAAAATAAAATATGAAACAATTAGGAAATTTACAGCCGAACGTGAGCTATTGTGTGTTCTGATATAGGAAAACTATATATAAGAAACTATTTCCTTACTCTTTTTAATTTTAAGCTCAACTATATGAAAAAACATAATCCCACAGGGTGAAAGGCACAAGATAATTTTTAGCAACAAAGACAAATATTGTTAGGAACATGTTGAGCAACTCTCATTGCTGTTGTTACATTTAAAAATGATCAATTTTATTGCAAATTCCAATCCCTTTTCAAAATTAAACGTGCCATTTTGGTAAATTTTAGTTCAGAGCCGAAAAACCAGAACCGCAAATAATGTAAAAACCAAATTTACATTAACTGACAACGACAGTAACTATGTGTAAACAATGGCAACATGCAGCCAAGTAATTCCCAAAATGCAACTGCAACAACTTTGACAGCGACCAACAGGAGCAGACATGGAAACCAAACGGAACAACAAACTTTCCAAACGATTTGCCATTTGAATCAAAGTGCAAACCAAAAAGTTTCAGGCCAAAAAACTTGGCTAGCCCCCCGAAAAATGCCTTAATTTTGAAATGACTTTAAAATGCTGTACACGACTTATATAAATTTCATTAAATATATATATTGTTCTGCAGTAGCAAGTAATTTCGTAAAACTGCAATTAATATTGCGCAGAATACATTAAAATTCCTTTGTTATTTTATTTATTTTTTTGCTTTCCACATCCTTGAAAGACTAGCGAGTGCAAAAAAATAAAAAACCATTAAATATATGGACCTGAAAATAGTGAAAAACAATGGCATCATGCCCCATTAGATAGCTGGCTGCCTGGAGGCATAATACATTTTAAATAGATTGCATTCTTATGCAATAAATTCTAGTTTGTTAAATAATTTAAAACTGAAACAAAACGATTGTTGTTTCCACCACCCCGTTTCCTATTATTAAAGTTTTTTGTTTTTCCCAGTCTGGAGAGGGCGGGATTGTGGTTGAAAATCCAGCTAATATGCAAATATTTGCTTTAAACCTGCTGGCGGGCATAAAACAAATATCCCAAAGAGTTGCATAGATAAAGGAAAAAAAAGTATATATGTATAAATAAAAAACAGTGGAAAAACAAAAACAGGAATAATAACGAGCTTTATGAGAAGGATTTGCATATGTGTCTGAGTTTGTGTGGAGTTTTGCATGTGGAAAGCATCATATCGCCGCCACAACAACTGCAATTGCAGCTAAAAGAAAAACTCCTTTTTCTATTTGCTCTCCTTTTTATTTATTTCCCATTTTATATATATTTTCCACCCACCACTTCACTGGCAACAATAACAAGTAACCGTCAGACGATTGTCCTTTGGCCATGGCATCATACCCGCAAAGTCCTTTGCCATGTTAGCTATAGAATCTAGAAGCGTTTTTCTTGCAACAAAAAAAGAGGAGGGAAAAATCCTACCCACAATCCACTGTCCCTACACAGTTAACGGTATTTGCATGTAATTAAATTTTCCACTCGGCAACTGCAAACTGCAACTGCTTTCTCCTATTTGCACAGGACTGAATAAAAAAAGAGGAGCTTTGCGGGGAGTTGGGCGGATGTTGTTTGCTCCTGACTCTGTCCTGTTCATGATTTTTTCCCCCAACTTTTCCTCCAAAAAGAGGAGATGTACATAGATAGATGGTGACCTCATCATGATGGCCAGAAGTTTTGCCATTAAGTTTGTAAAGGCAAAAAAGCGAATGATGGCCAAATGGACAGCGACAGAAATCGAAGCAGGAAATAGAAGGAATACCTGGAAAAAGGCTGATGTGTGAATTAACTTGAAAACTCTTTTGAACAGAGAAGCTGCAGTGAGGAAAATAAGGTGTACAATCTTGAATTTCAACGAGTTTTAATTGTTGTTTAATATTTTACAAGAAATTAACATTCAAACAGGATCACACATAAAACAAAATCAGTTTCTAACACAACTATTTTATGAGAAATTCAAATATAAATCAAAAATATTTCAACCAACCAATAAAGATATCTTTTTATTCAAGTCATCCTTTCAGTTCG